GCTGAAGAAGCGGAATGTAGTACGGCCGCGGCCGCACATCGCCTCCAGAAACAGCAGAGACAGAACCGGTACCCTCAGCCCCAGGGTCTCCAGTCCCAGCAGCACTCCAGCAGCTCCAGCACCAGCAGCACCTCCAGCAGCTCCAGCACCAGCACCACCTCCAGCAGCTCCAGCACAAGCACCACCTCCAGCAAGCTCCAGCACCTAGCTAGCACCTCCAGCAGCTCCAGCACCAGCAGCAGCTCCAGCACCAGCAGCACCTCCAGCAGCACCAGCAGCACCTCCAGAAGCTCCAGCAGCACCTCCAGCACCAGCAGCACCTCCAGCTAGCACCAGCACCAGCAGCACCTCCAGAAGCCTCCAGCAGCACCTCAAGCACCAGCAGCACCTCCAGCAGCACCCTCCAGCAGCACCAGCACCAGCAGCACCTCCAGAAGCCCCAAGCAGTACCTCCAGTAGCCTCCAAGCAGCACCCTGACAGCGCCGAGAGTACCACTCACGAAGCTGCTGTGGAGAGAGAGGCTCCCGCTGCGGCGGGACACCTAGAGCACCTCCAGACGCAGCACGTGCAGGCTCAGCACCTCCAGACACAGTACCCTCAGGCTCCACACGCCCAGGCTCAGCACCCCCAGGCACAGCACGCCCAGGACTCAGCACCCCCAGACTCAGCACCCCCAGTCCCCGCACCTGCAGGCTCAGCACCCCAAGACTCAGCACCTGAGTCGACAGCTACCTCGACCGGCTCGGCAGGGTCTACCTGGGACACACCTGAGGGGGCAGGCCCTGGGGGGGGAGGGGGTCTACCGGGGGAGTACCTGGTGCCAGGAAGAGCGGCGGGGGGGGGGGGAGAGGCAGTGCGGTAGGGAAAGAGACGGTAGTACGACACCGACTCGTCAAACGTGACGTCCTGAGAGGACAGAACACGACGCGAGGTGGGGTGGTAGAACTGCCCACCCGGGTGCGTCAGGAGGGAAGCCAAGGAAGACATAGGGAATGGCACGGGAGGACAGCTTGTCCGCCTGTAGTATCGCGGACAAAAGCTCGAGATCCCCAGACACGGAACGCGGACGCATCGCCAACCTTCCCCGTCCACCGCAGAGTAGGTGCGGTCTCCGGCAGGGAGACACGAGGCTGAAGGTTGATCTGATGCGCAGCGTACCGAACCGCGAACGGCCACAGAAAATGGGGAAGCAGCCGCATGGGTCATGGACGCACGAGCGACATCCATGACCATGCCAATGCGGCGCTCAGCAGTCCCATTTTGCTGCGGGGAGGCCGGAAGCGTGAACGTCTGGCGGATGCCCTCCGAACGACAGAAGGCTCTCAGGAGGTCGGAGGAAAACTCCCCGCCTCTGTCTGAGTGCAGACGCAGAACAGGAAGGTCTGAGCCGAAACTCTCACTGAGCTGGCAACGAGCACCGCGGATCCAGTCGATCAATACCTCAGGGACATCACCCTTGCTGCGCAAGGGGAAGACTATGGTGTAACGCGAGTAGTCGTCAACGACCAGCAGGAAGTAGCGCTCGTGACCCTGTCCACGGACGCGGGCTGGGCCCCACACGTCCATGTGAAGAGTCTGCAAAGGGGCCTTAGTCTGGAGGGAACGAGGAGGAGTGAGGAGCGGCGCGCTGCCGGCCCTCGACACAAGGAACACAGGTGGGGGCAGGCCCCGGAGGAAGGGGAGGGAGGGACATGGGGAGTCCAGAGACAAGAGCACGGGAGGCCATACCTCGAAGACGAGGCAGGGAGGGGTGACCAAGGCGGTGGTGCCAAAGGAGAGTCTCGTGCGACCGAGGACGACACGAGCAGGGGGCAGACGCAGGACTAGACCTGGACGCGGCAGCACACACACTGACTGGACGCAGCTACCTGACCAGACGTAGGGACCGGAGGAGGCGCAGTAGTCAGTGTGTACAGACTCGACCCTGGCCGACGGGTGAACGTGGCCAGGTGGCGGCCCGTCCGAGAGCAAGTGCAGTGGGTCACACGCTGACCTCTAGGGGTGAACTGGTCAACCCACGCGTCCTGGAGGTCAGCTCCACTCACCAAGTTCGTAGAGAACGAGGGGAGGTGGAGTCCCCGACAGCAAGCCCGACGGGGCCCGCAGGACACGGTAGAACCGTGGAGGAGTGTGCAAGGACTGGGCCCCCTGAGGGGTCAGCAAGGGAGACCGCAACAGGCCGACTGAGCAGCGTGAGCGTGGTGCTGTCTCTAAAGAAAGAGCGCGAAGCACCAGAGTCAAGTGTGAAAGTGTGCAAGGACTCAGTAGGTGCAGTACCAGAGAGAGCAAACGCATCAGCACCTGGAGCAGCAGACGCACGAGTACCTGGAGCAGCAGACGCACTAGCACCTAGAGCAGCAGCCGCAATGCCCGGGTCGGGCGGGACACTCAGGTAACAGTCACCCTGAGCACTATCAGCAAGAGCATACATGGCAGCAAGGATAGCATCAAAGTCTAGATCAAAGATAGGCACATTCTGCAGAAGCAGATCATGCCAACGAGGAAGCTCAACGGCGTCAGGAAACTGGGTACGCCAAGCGTCAGTCAAGCGACCGAAGCAGCGCTGCGTGGTGTGTGGGAGCCCACACACCTCCCCACTACGAGTGCCGGTGCGAAGAACGTAAGTGCAGGGACCTGCACCCCCAGACCTCCCACGCCCAGCGTACCACTCACGAAGCTGCTGAACCGACGGGGTCTCACGGGTGCGCAGCTGCTGCTGGCGCTGGCTGCCACCAAAGCCTCCACGCTGTGCGGCTGCACCTCGACCAGCACCACCTCCGCCGCTACCTCCACCACCGCTGCCGCTGCCTCCACCTCCTCCGCCACCGCTGCCACGACCTCCACCGCCGCCACTGACGCCCCCACTCCCGGTACCACCCCCACCTCCACCGCCACCTCCTCCGCCGCCTCCACCTCCTCCACTGCTTCCCCCGCCGCCCCCTCCACCACCCTTGCTCCCCTTGCCCTTGCTGGTGCGGTGTCTCCCACTAGGGGCAGACGCAGCGCCGACCTCCTCAGTGCCAACGAGGTCGACAGCAAGCAGCAGAGGCAACAGAGGGGAGAAGGGGGGACAGGGGAACATCCCTCAAAGAAGGGGGTGCGACGGTCGTCGCGAGAAGCACCTACAGCTAAGATACTCTTCTTAGCTGCAGTAAGGCGCTCCTCTAGCAGGTCGACAGTCAGCTCGGTGGGGCAAAGGGAGAGAAAGTGGTCCCTGACTGAAGAGAGGGAGTCAGGGAGGCGGGTGACTAGGTAGTAAAGGGTGATGTACATGGGGGGGGGGTTCTTGGCTCAGAACTCAGTGGGAAGGGCAGCGCGGTAGCGGGCGTCACTAGCGCGAAGGTGAGCAACTAGGTCAGCGACAGTGGCAAAGGCAGCAAGGTCAGGGAAAAGGTACGGCAGCATGAGGTGGCTGAGGGCAGCAGTGGCAGGGGAGGAGTAGCGTGCAACTACAGCGTCGTACAAAGACTGAGCAGTCTTGTACTGGCCAAAGTGCGCGCGCTCAGCAGGCGGCAGGTGACTACGAACAGCAAGACGAGCAACAGCGTCACGAGTGGTCCACTGCAAGCGAACAGTACTGTCAGCAGTGGCAGCAGGAGCAGTGGAAACACCTGACGTGTGATCGAAAAGGGATACCCCATCCCTAGAATCACACTGAAGAAAGAGCTGTAGGTCGTCAACCCACACGTCAAAATCAACTGCACGTCCCTCAGCATCAAAGGTGAGAATAGTCGGACTAGCCATAGCAGTAGGAGCAGTAGCAAGAGTAGTGGCGGAGTAGCAGGTAGCAGTAGTAGCAGCAAGTAGCGCAAGTCAGTGCTGCTCGGTAGGGGGGGAGGGGGGGGGGGGGGGCAGCGCGGCTCGGCTGAGCGGCACGGCTCGGCTGGACGGCGCGGCTCGGCTGGGCGGCGCGGCTCGGCTGGGTGGCGCGGCTCGGCTTACCAGAAACGGGTGCAGGGGCGGGCCGGGACTGTAGGGGGCGCGCCAGTAGGGGCCGGCAGAGGCGCGCCAGCAGGGGCCGCGCCAGCAGGGGCCGGCAGGGGCCTCGTTTGCAGGGGCCGGCAGGGGCGCGCCAGCAGGGGCCGCGCCAGCAGGGGCCGGCAGGGGCTCGTTTGCAGGGGCCGGCAGGGGCGCGCCAGCAGGGGCCGCGCCAGCAGGGGCCGGCAGAGGCTCGTTTGCAGGGGCCGGCAGGGTCGCGCCAGCAGGGGCCGCCAGGGGCTCGGTTGCAGGGGCCGGCAGGGGCACGTCAGCAGGGCGCGTCAGCAGAGGGGCGCGCCAGCAGAGGGCCGGAAGGGGCCGCGAAGAGCCGTCAAATAGGGCCGCTAAGGGCCGCGAGGGGGCCGCGAAGGGCCGCGAAGGGGCCTCGAAGGGCCGCGCAAGGGGCCACGAAGGGCAGCGAGGGGCCGCGAAGGGCCGCAAACGGGGGCCGCGAAGGGCCGCGAAGGGGGCCGCGAAGGGCCGTGAAGGGGCCGCGAAGGGCCGCGAGGGGCCGCGAAGGGCCGCGAAAGGGGCCGCGAAGGGCCGCGAAGGGGGGCCGCAAAGGGCCGCTAAGGGGCCGCGAAGGCCGCGAGGGGCCTCGAAGGGCCGCGAAGGGCAGGCGCACGGGGCGCTGCTAGGACAAACGCGAAACGCGCTTCGGGCAGGTAAGGAAAAAAAAAATTTTCTTAGTGGTGGGCCCTAAAAAAAACAGTTCCACTAGGGAACCTGCTCTATACCATGTGAGAATAATGACAAGAATGAATGAACTAGGAAACAGGTGGGGTACAAGTAGCAAACACAGAAGTGTTGTACCCTCTAAGGATTACCCCACTACAGCCTAAACAGACTATAGCATATATAAGTTTGACATAATTATCTCCTCGGCATTGTGAAGCCGATCTCGGACACCTCACCTGCAGATGCAAGTGAGCAGCAACGTCCAGCTCCCACAATAGCAGCTGAGGCACGTCAACAAGCAGCCGAGAATCGTCGCCAGGGTCGTGATGCAGCACGTGCCGCCATGGGTCGCGGCACTACTTCACGTGCGCATGGGCATGGTGCGGAAGACGCCAGCGCGGCGGGAGCCCTACCGATCGAACCAGAGCCACCGACTGAAAGCACTGCTGACCCTATGGCTCAGCCGGCCGAGTCCCCTGCCACCAACTCGCCGCCAGCTCGTCCGTATGGATCGACGCCTGCATCTGCACAACCTTTCGATTATGCACGCATCCTGAGACGTATAAGGACAGGTTACATCCCCAGCTCCATCTGTACGGACCTGCCACGTGCAACTGGATCGAACGGAAACCCGGCTGAGGATGCAGAGGAACCCAACGGGGGAAGCACCTGCCAGGCATTGGTCCTGGTCTCTTTGGATCACCCATGGCCAGATGTCGGCAGTGCCAACCCCGGAGTTAACACAGCGGCCGATGCTGAAGAGGACGATGAGGAGGATGCAGATGCAGAGGAGGCAGATGCAGAGGAGGCAGATGCAGAGGATGCGGAAGCACCACCCACAGCAGAGGGGGTGCAGGCAGAGGCTGGCGTGGACGACGATGACAACACTCCAGACACCGGTGTCGCGGATGGGGACCACACCATACACGTGCGGACCGGGTTTAGGCAGAACAAGCGTAGTACAAGGAAGAATTTGGGCATCAACCTTGTCCACTGGACTCGCCTTAAGGCCCCTACTCGACGCTTCGGGATCTTCACCAGCAACGCGGCTGAGCAGGTCAACAGCTCCATCGTGCCCATTCGGCGCTTGCCGGTGACCCTGATGCTAGGGGTTCTCATGGACTCGTATCGCAATAGGTATTGTGAACGTAAGATGGCGGCGCTCGAGCGAACTGATCTCCTGACAGGGGCAGCCGAGGAGCGGATGGTGGAGAAGGAGACACGCCCGGAGGGGTACGAGCTGTTGGGCAGGGACCATGAAGAAGGAACCATCCAGACCAGGGACACCGATGATCCCAAAGAATGGAGGTCCTTCAACGTCAACTTGGCGGCGAAGACACGCGACTACACAAACTGGGACCAATACCAGTTTCCGTGCTCCCATGCTGTGGCCTTTGCTGTGAAGCGGAAGCTAGACCCCCGCACTCTCGTCTCTGATTTCTAAACCACGAAGAATTGGGCAGAGACGTACTCTCAACAGTGCGGGGGTCTTGAGTGGACCGTGTTAGAATGTGAACGATTGAATGATTGAACTAGAAAGCAGTTGGGTATAAGTAGCAAACCTAAAAGAGTTGTACCCTATAAGAACTACCCCACTACAGCCTAAACAGACTATAGCATATAAGTTTGACACACCCCCATAGGCAAAGTGGGGGAGAACAAGAGGTCACAAGACCAGTCACGAAAAGCAAAGCAAGCTCAGGGTGGATCACAAAGTCACCACGCAGTCTGAGCACAAGCAAATGGCCACAAGGCCAGTTCACATGCAGAGTTATATAAAAGAAAACAAATAATGCAGTGAACACAACCTAGCAAGTGTAAGCATGCAGGTATAAGTATATAGAGTACAGTACAAGCAGAGTCAAGAAGTCAGCAAGTGAGGCACAGTAGGTACAAGGCCTAGAACAGTACAGAAACGCTGATGATCACAAGGCTGAAGTGCCTTGGTGAAAACATTAGCAGTGTTGGCTTGTGAGGCCACGTAAGCGAGACGAAGCTGACCACGCTGCTGCAACTCTCGAGCAAGGAAGAATCGCAGAGCGATGTGCTTCGTTCTGTGCTCCAGTCTGTGCTCCTGACACAAGGCAAGCATGGCCTTGTTGTCGACGTACAGAATTGGAGGAGAACGAGGCGCCTCTCCCAAGTCGGTCAGCAAGTAAGTGAGCCAGCGTAGCTCCTGTGCAGCCATGGCCCCAGCGTAGATCTCAGCCTCACAACTGGAGCTGAGAACAGAAGAAGAACAGGTAGACCGCCAAGAGACAGAACCGGAGCCAAGACTGAAGGTGTAACCCTGCAACGACCGCTGCGTAGCCAAGTCGTCAACCCAGGAAGCGTCTGCGTGACCAGTGAGGACAACTCGAGCCCGTCCTCCAAGCACGAGCCCCATGCCCGATGTACTGCACAAGTAGCGCAACACCCTCTTCGCAGCATCCCAGTGCACCTTTCGGTGCCTACCGGGAGCCACGTAGCGAGCCAGAAGGCTGAGAGGGTATGCGAGGTCAGGTCGTGTGCAAGTCATCAGGTACATGAGGCAGCCCACAAGCTCTGGATACGGGCCACTCGGCTCTACGGACTCGTCCGAAGGTGGAGCTGAGAGCGAGTGACCGGTAGGCAGAGGAGTGGACTGTGGCGAGGAGTACATGAAGCCGAAGTGCTGAAGGACCTGCTGCACCATGTGTGACTGAGTCAAGGTAATGGTGCGCTGTGCTCTGTCACGGGTGATCCACAAGCCAAGATAGCTTGTCAGTTCACCCAGGTCTGTGCACGTGTGTCTCTTTTGCAGCTCGGACTTCACGTGGGCAAGTGCCTCAGTGTCACCAGTAGCAAAGACGAGGTCATCTACGTACACGAGAATGTAGAATGGCGGCAGAGTGGTGTCAGTGCGTAAAAACAGTGAAGGGTCAGCAGTGGAAGGAGCAAAACCAAGAGTAGCAAGAGTGGTCCTCAGTGTGTCGTGCCACTCACGGGGTGCCTGGCGGAGACCGTAGACTGGCCGCCGGAGGCTCCACTGGGTACCAGCATTGGACTAGGTAGTAAAGGGTGATGTACATGGGGGGGGGGTTCTTGGCACAGAACTCAGTGGGAAGGGCAGCGCGGTAGCGGGCGTCACTAGTGCGGAGGTGAGTAATGAGGTCAGCAACTTTGGCAAAGGCGGCAAGGTCAGGGAAATGGTACGGCAGCATGAGGCGGCTGAGGGCAGCAGTGGCAGGGGAGGAGTAGCGCGCAACTACAGCGTCGTACAAAGACTGAGCAGTCTTGTACTGGCCAAAATGCGCGCGCTCAGCAGGCGGCAGGTGACTACGAACAGGAAGACGAGCAACAGCGTCACGAGTGGTCCACTGCGAGCGAACCGTACTGTCAGCAGTGGCAGCAGGAGCAGTAGAGAAACCGGACGTGTGATCGAAAAGGGATACCCCATCCCTAGAGTCACACTGAAGAAAGAGCTGCAGGTCGTCAACCCACACGTCAAAGTCAACCGCACGCCCCTCAGCATCAAATGTGAGAACAGTAGGGCTAGCCATAGCAGTAGTAGCAGCAGTAGCAGCAGGGGCAGCTCAGGCAGGGCAGTGCGGCTCAGTAGGGCGGCGCGGTTCTGTAGGGCGGCGCGGTTCGGCAGGCGGCGCGGCTCGGCTGGGCGGCGCGGCTCGGCTGGGCGGCGCGGCTCGGCAGGGCGGCGCGGCGGCGGCGAGGGCAGGGCCGCGACAGGGGGCGGCTGCAGGGCAGAGGCCGAGACGGGCGGCGAAGGCAGGGCCGCGACTGGGGCGGCAGCAGGGCAGTTGCCGCGACAGGGGGCGGCTGCAGGGCAGAGGCCGCAACAGGCGGCGAAGGCAGGGCCGCGAGAGGCGGCGGCTGCAGGGCAGTGGCCGCGACTGTGCGGCTGCTGGGCAAAGGCCGTGACGGGCGGCAAACAGGCCGCGACGGGCGGCAAAAAAAGGGGGGGGGGGGGGGGCGCGACGGGCAGCAGAGGGGCCGCGACGGGCGGCAAAGGGGCCGTGATGGGCGGCAAAGGGGCCGCGACGGGCGGCAGAGGGGCAGCGACGGGCGGCAAAGGGGCCGCGATGGGCGGCAAAGGCACGGCCGCGACGCGTGGCGACGGGCCAGCGTCGGGCGTCTAAGGCAGGGCCGCGACGGGCCAGAGAAGGCAGGGCCGCGACGGGCCGGACTAGGGCAGGGCGCAAGGCGCGCTTCGGGCAGGGCGCGATGCGCGCTTTGGGCAGGGCAGGAAAAAAAAAAGTTGTGGGGGGCCCTTAAAAAAAAACGTTCCCACTAGGGAACCTGCTCAGAATACCATGTTAGAATGTGAACTAGAAAGCAGTTGGGTACAAGTAGCAAACCTAAAAGTGTTGTACCCTATAAGAACTACCCCACTACAGCCTAAACAGACTATAGCATATAAGTTTGACAGACCGCATCATCCTTGAGAAGAGGTTGGCCCCCCCAGGCGTGTGCGATGCTCCGCCCTTTCGCCGTACCGCTGCCGGCCGCCCCCCGAGCTACGCTCGCGTGGAGAAGGCCGTGCATCTATACAAGTGCAGTGTTTGCAAGATGCATGGTCACAACAAGAACCGCTGCATGGGGAAGTACGGTGGCAGCGCTGTTCCGCAGAAGAGGAGGTACCGTAAGCACCCAAAGTCGCGAAAACCCTATCGGGAGGCTGCACCTGGCGCGGGCACCATTTGAACATTCCAGGGTTTATATAGCTACAGTAGTGTCTCAATGAGTTAGAGTAGTCTCTGTAGTAGGTGTTCTCAAACCACTTTGGCTAGTGCAGAAGATTTAGTGTTGGTATACTGATACTGGGTTCATAGGTTTATGTTTGTATTAGCATGATTGATATACACAATAAAATCCAGTAAAGTGCAGGTTGAGGCTGACGAGCACGTCAACCTAGCGTGAAAACCCCGTGACGGGTTTAGGGACCAACACTGGAAGCGCCGTGGCCTGATCGTTAGGAGCAGGGTAAAATTTCCCGTCACCAATTTCACGTCAAAGTCCAGGGTCCCGTGAACTCGTTGGGAATGCAACGCCATTGAATCGCCATGGTCGAGACCATGCATGATCATTTACCAGGCCCTCGCGAATGGCCCGTGAACACACCGTAAGATTTCTAGCGGTTGGATAGCCAGTGGCAAATTACGCCGTCGCATTATATTCGATCGTTGTAGATGTCAGAGGTCCACTGGTGATCCTCGATTGATCCTAGGGAAGGGTTACAGGCTCGTTGTCCTGGGGGGTTATGGGCGCACTCACCCGCTACTTAACAAGCCCTTTTATCCCAATGGTCTAGTGGTTGGGATTCTGACATGGTATCAGAGCGGTCTCGGGTTCAAATCCCGGTGTATGCACATGTAGGCGGTTGCCGCTGTGCTCAGTCCTGGGCCTCCCAGTGTGGGGGGGTGTCAGTGGATCTGCACTGTGAGATCCCCGGTTGATCCTTGGGGGGGTTACAGGCCTGTTAGCCTGGGGGGTTATGGGCGCACTGACCCGCTACTGAAACAAGCCCTTTTATCCCAATGGTCTAGTGGTTGGGATTCTGACATGGTATCAGAGCGAAGGTCTCAGGTTCGAATCCCATTGTGTGCACTTCGGGCATCCCAGTGCGGGGGGGTGTCAGAGGTCCACTGGTGATCCTCGATTGATCCTAGGGAAGGGTTACAGGCTCGTTGTCCTGGGGGGTTATGGGCGCACTCACCCGCTACTTAACAAGCCCTTTTATCTCAATGGTCTAGTGGTTGGGATTCTGACAGTAGATGGCTTGTGAAAGGCCAGTGGAATGTCCGTGAAGTGTAACCGAGTGCTTCGGGACGGTCTGATTTGGCACGCACAGAACGAACTACTCCGTCACAAACCCGTGAACTCCCAGTCAATGGCACGCCATTGGCTAGAACATGCGCTCGTCTCAACATCGTATATCTCTCGTAACTGTGTTGCTACACAGCATCATTTATGTTCAACATGCCTGCAGGCATTAATCATCTTAGAGTGCCAATGAGGTTGTGTGTATGCGTTAAGTTGGGTTGGTAGTTAGGATAGTAGGCAGTACCAATGAATATGTGACATAAAAAACCTAGCACAAATGTCAGTTACTCGTGAATTTATGAAACATTTGTCAAATCCCAGCGACACCCATACAGACAGCGGTACAGGCAGTTTTAGTAGCTCACACAATACGGACCCAGACGTCTACGGACCCGAACAAATATAGAAATCATCACAAATAAACGACCTCGTATTGATGGCAACTATTCCCATGTCCCGTCGTTGCGCTTTCTAGTCCGTCGACCGTCTGTCCGAGATGAGAAATTCCCTACCGCGGCCAGTCTCTTTGCAGCCCTGCGCTTCTTTTCTTCCATCTTGATTTCGCAGTCATCCCATGCATCCTCCCAGTCCTCCCACCTGTGCCAAAACTTGTGACGAATCATTGCCAAACAAGTGGTCTTGTCA